CTAATCTTCTTCCATCTCACTACAAATGTAAAAATTCTAGTACACTTTAAAGGTGCCATTTATATAAAATTAACTACATCCACGACGTCCTGCAACACGTACTTTTTTTCTGCCATTTGCTTGCTTATGAATAATGTAGTGAAGAAAATTCACTTGTGGTGCCAGACTCACAGACTCACTCTGGAATTCTCTGTTTATTCCAGCCAGAGCAGCTGTTCTATCAATGGTGTTTACAAATTTTTTTCCATAAAACATTGTTTTTTTATCTAAGAAATATTTAGTATTGAGACTATATCTTTTCTGGTATTTCTACTGGGACACAAAAAGTAGCTTTTCAATGTGTTTTGTTATTGAAATAGAATCTATAATATACCAAAATGCCATAAGCTTGATGCATTAGCAACATCTGTATTTTCATCCAACTGTGTAACAATTTTACCACACTATTTTTCCTAACATTGTTTAATTTTTCAGTAATGTTTTCCATGTCTTCTAGCATATTTGCTGACAAAGGAGTGCATTTTATTTTGCTATTAAATTGTCTTTCATGTATAATTTCAGTCATTTTTAATGCATCCAAAAGTGTTCTTTTGTGTTTCCCAAATTTGTAGGGATTTGTCTTTTATTTTTAAGTAAGGAAACTCCAGAAGGACTTCTTGGCATTTACCACTAAAGCTCAGTGAAATTTTGTAAGATACTCTATTATCATTTGCTGAAAAATGGAAGAGGTGTTTTTATGTTCTTAATACTTATTTTTAAGATGAATTACTGATTATTAGCCAATAGGTCATCCTATACATTTAGAATCATATTGTCAATGATAAATGATTTCCTTGATACAATTTTTTGGTTTCATTTTTACCAAACCTAATTATTTCAATGTTGTTTTTAAACTCATAAAAACAGAGAGCTCATACTAGGACAATAGAGTGATCACATCTAATATTTTTTTGTTCTTAAATTATGCTTGCATTATTAATACTATCTTCAATTTTGATTTCTTTGCAGACATCTTTTAGAACCAACTTCCCATTTTTTTTTTTTTGGTTTAATTTAAAACTAGGAAATATAATCTATAACTCCACAAATTTGAACCAGTAGAAATGGTCGTATATTCATGACAAGCTGTGGTGGGGGGTTGGGGGAGCCTTCCATTTTCATTCCATTTAGTAAACATTAGAACTTATTTTTCCCCATAACTTATAGATGCTATAGAGGATCCTATAGAGATGAGGGTACATGCCTAGGAGAAGGGGGCCAAGGAAGCTGCCAAGCCTGCATTACTCCTCAGCCTTTAGCTTTTGCAGAGATTATTCAGTGACACTCAGTCATCAAACTGGTCACGTGAGGCAAAAGCTTCATAACAACAAACAAGATGCACATTTGCCCCTCCTCTCTATACAGTTAATGCTCCATGAATTCCCACGGTGGGACTGAGGAGCTCAAATGGGACGAGATAAGATTCAGAAATCCAAACATATTGCCACTATACCTTCAGTCATTTTGATTCTTGGATAAAGTGATCAACGAAAGCAGAACATTCCTGGCAGGAAGGTAAGTTTCAATGAAATCACTGCATAAAAATGCAGGGCTTTTGTATATTTTCATCTAAGTATACAGCTCCTGCACATTCGATTTCACTCAATAGGATTCCTTAATTTGTTCCATATTTCTATAAAGGGGATACTAGAATGCTAATCTCAAACAACTTGGGACACAACTAGTAACTGTTAGAGTCTCAAAATTCCCCTTTTGAAGATTGTGTTGGCTACTGACACAAAGTTGGGGTGAGTTCCTAACACATACTGAATGGAGTTCATGGAAGAAAAATAGAGAATTAATAGTGTTTCAGGACATATTTACTGTGAAAACAGTCAGGAGTGACTAGTTTGTCTATAGCCTTATTTCAGTGGCATTCTGTGTAGTATGTATTTCTCTACCCAGTTACAACATGTAAAATGTGAGTTGAAAAAGGACCTTGAGATTTTGACTCTGGGGAGCAGATATTTTCTTATTAGTATCAATGAAGTTTTATGGGATGGAATTCAGAATTAAAAATGATGATTCAGTCACTCAGATCATGGAAGAACTGTTTGGCAGGGTCTGACCTAAGCCTTGTGGCTCAACCAAGATGAACATGGATACATTGTACAAAGAACTGTGAAGGAGAAGACAGAGTGATCTTAGATGTCCAAAATGTCTACACTGCATAGAACATTACAGATATCAATGAATATTTCAGGAGACTCAATAAAGACATGAAAATAAGTGTTATTCTAGGAAAATTATTTAACTTACATGCCAGATGAACAAACTGATAACATTAATAACAGTGCACAAGGGAGGTGGGGCAAATTCTCAGATTGTACTCTTGAGGCATTAGGATCACTTTTTTGGCTAAATGTAGAGAATCAGGGAAAATCTTGGTGGATCTTAAAAATTTTGTTTCCTATAAGGTAGACCATTGTTTCTCAAAATATGAATATGCAACACCCACACCAGATCTTACGGTACATACTTTATAGTTCAGGTTCTTGGGCATTCCCAAGATTTAATAAATTATGCATGTGGCAGTGAAGTTTCTGATTTTTAAAACCAGGCATTCTAGGTGCTACTTGGTGCTACTTATTCACACATAAAGTTTGAGAACTGCAAAGATGTAGGAAACAATTGGCTGACCTTGATTCTCTGAATGCAATCTAACAGAAATTGGTCAGGGAATTTCAGGAAACTGAAGTCAAGGAAGAAGAAATTGAGAATAACCAGAGTATTTTGCTCTCCTATATGACAGCAGATTTCAAAAGCTTAAGTAAAATGTTAGCTCCATTTCAATGCCCAAGTCTTTGGAAAAGAACTGCCTGAGATGGTTGAGCTTCTCTTGCCATGCAATTCAGTGTGCAATTACTCAACTTCCACACGATGAGTACGGTGTGGTACCTAAAGATACCAGTGTGTTTGTCTGTGCAGGAGGTCACTGAGTTCCAGTTTCTCAAAGGATGGGCACAAGATTGAGAAGAGGTTATGGGATTCTCTATTCAAGGTTGGAGAGAAGATGCTGGTACAGAATTGTAGGGTATAAGGAAGGTTGTGTCCGGAAATGAGCTCAGGCCAAAATGTGAACCACACACAAATTTATTTACTTACCTGTTTATCTCTGTAGTTTTTTTTTTTTTTTTCATTTTACAAAGATGAGAAAGGTCTTGCTATTAGGGTTTATGGTGAAATAAGGATTGACCTCTTTAGCTGCTGTTCTGTTTCTATGTTCTAAGTTATTTTCACACACAAAGAAAGGTGTTGAAAGGACTTAGAATACTATGGAGAGAAGACCATTCTTCCCCAAACTGAAATGGATTGGAACTTGGCACTGTCACTCACTAGTTGTGGGACTTAAGGAAGTTACTTACTTCTTTGGGCATTATTCTATTCTTCTGATCTTAAAAATGGGGAGAAAAACATTTGACTCATAGATTTGTTATGGACAATAAAGAAATAATAAACCTCATGTGCAGATACACAAAATGTTATTTTTCAAAAAAGTTGGGTTTTTGGCTCAAATTTCTTCTTTCTCTACGAAAGGCATTTGCAAATGAAACTGGAAATTACTGAATCAGGGGGGTCATTTTTGAAACATGTGGAAAACAGGAAAAGACATGTGGAAACATGTCAAGACAAAACTATTTTAATTTTTTTATGGAAGACAATGTCAGATTTAGAAAAGTAAAAATTACTTTAACATTGATATTTGGCAAGATTTTTAGGTATATTATTTGAAAAATGGAATGTTTGCATGTATAGGAGACATACATTGATGCACAATAGATCCAGACAGGAATTCACTATCAACAAGTCACATCAGATTGGCTGAATTTCTTTTGCTGACAAGGTTATCGAATGCATAGATCAAGGAATCGTGTTGGATGGAAGTATATGATGAAATCTACATCTCAGTTTCTTTGTGTTCAAAAACTAAATGCCTATAGCTATAATTGTTGGATTAGGAGTGGATTGAATATTGATCCTTTCTCATGTGTTAGAAGGCATATTAAAAAATTTAAGAGTTTACTTGAGCAAAAATCAAATCGGGCAGCATCCAATCTAGCAGACAGGGAGGAGCTCTAAGGAGTTGTACAAAATGAAAGACTTTTATAGGCAGAAGGGAGTGGGAACAAGGAAGTTATACTAGGCAGAAATGTGGGTTAGTTATTACAAAATTATATATATATTTTTTAGGGGATAGCAGAGTTCTGACTAGTGTTGATCAGATGAGTCCTGATTGACTGGTTTAAGATTCCATTTCTGAGAGAGCAAAAAATGTAATTAAGTCTCGGTTTGGTGATATGGCGTAAGCAACTGCACATTGGGCATGTTGTCTTGTTTTTAAGAGTTTTTCCCTTTTGATCAGACTCTAAGACTAACTGAGAGATGGGATCAAAATTTAAGGCATTAGGGCTACTCCCAGCTACCTATTTGGAGTTTTTTGCTGAATCACTGGGTGGTATTCACAGGTCAATGACAAGAAGTTCACATTCTTTTTTTTTTTTTTAAGATTTTATTTATTTATTTGTCAGAGAGAGCACAAGCAGGGGGAGCAGCAGGCAGAGGGAGAAGCAGACTCCCCACTGAGCAGAGAGCCCGATGCGGGGCTCGATTCCCAGGACCCTGGGATCATGACCTGAGCCAAAGGTAGACGCTTAACTGACTAAGCCATCCAGGTGCCCCAAGAAGTTCACATTCTTTAAATTGGTTATTCTCTTCTTCCTTCTGGGTTGTTCCCAACTTAGGGAGATCATTTCTAGGTAGTTAGCTGCAAACATGAATTTAAAGCTCTTGAGAGAACACAGGGCACCAGGGAGATTACTGTGATTATTATAAGTAGGATAATTTCCAGTGTCTTGAGTGCACTTCAGAGGCATGGTTCCCAAGACCTGAACCAATCAGAATCAAATAAGTCAAAGAAAGACTCCCTTGAAGGAGCCACTTCTTAAAGCCCACCGGCTTGTTCAGCAATTTTAGGTAGCCAGGTCTCAACTTCTCCAGAAGTGTCAATCCAAAATGCAACAAGTGGTGTTGGAATCGTACAGACACCTCCTTGCTCAGGTAAAAGATAATCAGAGCTGTCTTATCATCAAGAACAACTTCGTCCAGAGGGTGTAGGGATTTTTGTTGTGTGGTCACTGCTTCAGCAGCAGGTTCTACAGTGTCTTCAGTAGTGACCTGCCAGGGGAAGCTAAGTGTGAATTGTGAATGCCCCCTGGTAATTCCTGTTTGAGGAAACAAAGAGCCACTCCCAAAGATAACCAAAAGAAAAAAAAAAAAAGACTCAGACAATTCCCCCAAGAGCTGGCAGAGTCAGTCAGTAGGATGAGAGCCACAAATGGGGTGCAACCCACATTTCTGTCTGGCCACATTTTGGGGGCCCCCAGCCTGACAGTTATCAAGCCAAATTCTCAGGTCACAAAATGAGACAAACAAGGATTACTATCTCTGGGAAAGAAAGGATCGACAATCAATGGGTACCTGGAGGCAAATTCACAAGTCACCATTCAAAGATCTAATTCTTACATTTTTTTTTTTTTTTCCTGCCGATCTGAGTTTGGAAAGGAAGGGAAGTGTGAAATTTTACCTTCTTCTTTCCCCCAGGCACCACAGATAGAGATCTGGGAGAGCTGACTTTGGCAAAAATTCTTACCCTTTGCCAGCTTCTGCCTGTTCTCCCAGGATCCGTCTGCAGTCTCCGGAGCAAGTCGGGTGTCCCAGCAGGTCCCATCCTGGTCACCAGAAACTGTAGTGGAGGACGTGAATAATTTTCCCTCCATCCTTTGAGGTGAGTGCTGCGTTGGGGCCCCTTCTCTAGGGCACCTCCTAAGGGGATGCACTTATCTAAGATGCTTAAAACTTCTCCGCTGTGCCCACTGAACTCAAGATTATCTTTGATAAATTAACCTGTTTAGTGAGCCTCATCACAGAATCCTACTCACCTGAGGCCTCGCCACCCCCGGGTCCAACCCAGGACAGGCCTGGTTTTTAAGTGGCACCCAGTCCTGTTTTGAAGTCGGGGCTGGCGGATTCTGGCGGTTTTGGAGCCTGTTGGGAGAAGGGAAGGCTGGAAGTGTGCAGGCTCCTGACGGGGAAGCTGAGGAGCCAGGATCCCGGGGGGGGGGGGGGCTCCTCCCCACCCCCAGCAGTGGGAAGCAGCGGGAAAGCCGCAGGAGCTCCAGAGCTCAGCAGGTACCTGTAGGCTGGGGGCTTACTCCTTTCTCCTGGGGGGCTGCTGGGGGCTTTCTTCTGATACCAGAACTGTTATAAACTGAGAAATATTTAAAAAATGTAACAACTTACTGAGCGAAGTCGAATCAAATCAGGCGGGGTACAGCCTAGTAGATGAAAAGAGCTCTGAGGAGCTGTGCAAGATGGAGACTTTTATAGACAGAAGGGAGTGGGAACGAGGAAGTTATTCCAGGCAAAAAAAAAAAAAAAAAAAGGCAGGTTCCTTATTGCCAAGTTCCTTTCCTTCAGGGGCTGGTGGGGGCCTAGGGGGTTTGGTGATGTAGGGCTTAGTTACATAAGTACCTCTGACTTGGGCCTGCTGTCTTGTTTTTAACACATGTGGTTAGTTTTCCTCAAACTTTATGATTGCCCCTTGAAATTTGTTACCGTGAAAGCTTAGGTTAATGAGTGGAGTCGGCTTGGGTGGTTTTCCTTTGCAGCTATTTTCCTAATAGCCTGTTGCTTTGCACCTAAGGACCAGTTGGGTGTGTTTTGAAAGTGGGTGTGCATGGAACACAGAGCCAGGCTGTGGGTCCCCAGACTGCCAAAGTAAAGGCTTCTCTAATCTGCGGGGGGGCACTAACTTGCGCTTTATTCCTGGGGAAAGTTGCCTTCTGCATCTTTGTTATGTATTTTTTAGCGTCTGATATAAAGTCCAGACTTTCCTCAAGCTTTGCTCTTTTATTTTGGACTTTAAAACCTGTCCTAGTTTGCTACCTAGACAAGACACTTTGTTTGGAGCACGGTTCTCCGGTTTTATTCAAAAAGTTAGTTTCTCTCTACACATAACCTGGGAATGAGGAGAGCCAGGCTACACCTGGCCAGCTGTGACAAGTAAAAAATTTTAAGTAATTACCCTTCCCATGGTCCCCTCGAATGGGACAGGGCAGCACCCGCCTAGCTGGCTGTCGTGAATAAAGGTTTTTGGTAATTACTCTGCCTGTGGTCCCAAGGTTCACACCTGCCCCTTACGTTTGTTGCTTCTCAAGTTGGTTGAGCGCTCTTTGCTCTCTTGGGTAAGTGTCTCTCCAGGTTTTTAGTTTTCTATCAGTTTGTTTTCTATTTTCCTGGACTGTTAATTCTGTTTCATGTTTTCCAGTCTTATGATTGTCTGCTTCCCTTTATATTTGCTTTTTGTTCCTTCAGTGGGACCTCAAGAGATAGAGAAGGTACATAGACCTTGGGTCTTTGGGTCACCATATTTATGTAGTAGCTTTATGGAAAAAACAAGACCAAAACAGCAATCTCAGTCATGCTGACGCAGTTTTAAGAAATGCTGGTATAGCATTTTAGACTTTAGAGAAATATTTACCTCCTGGAATATTGTGAAATAAGCATTATCCCAATTTTAGAGATGAGGAAATGAAGTTTAAAATAGGTCAGTTGCTTGGCCTCACCTAGTGAATGGAAGAGCTGGGGGTTGCCGCAAGTCTTGTGATTCCAAAGGCAAAATCGTAAGTCATAAAAGCATTATAGAATATTGGAGGAATTAAAAAAAAAATTTAAATGCACTGATGGATTTGTTGTCTTTGTTTTTCTATCCAGAATTTTGCTTATGTGTTTTCACATAGTTGTGTCAAAAGCTCAGAAATGAAAGTAAAACCACTGAATGACCAAGGTAGTAATTAGTAAAAGTTGATTGCACACTCAAAGATGTTTGTGGATGGGGGGAGGGGGGCCGGTGTTCACACAAAACACGCAACGGGACTCAGGTGTATTGATAGAAAGCCTCTTACATAGGAGGAAGTGATTGTTGATTCTTCAGTGATTGGTTATATTAGAATACCCTTGATAGTGAATTGTCCAGTGGTTACTTCATATCACTTCTGGGGAATAATGTAAGTTTTGCTTAGGATTTATAGAGGTAATAAGCGACTCAAGTCTCACTTATCTTGAAAGATAAGGTAAATTACATTTTTCTCGTATGACTAAAGTGGTTTTGTCTGTTTAGGGAATTTACGCCTGGGTTGTGTTTGATGTTTAACAGTTGTAATAATAGTGGGTACCCATCTTTAAAAAGTACTTAAGTTTCATTTTTACCGAAAGATGATATGAAAAATATTGCTGTTACACACATCTTTATGCATTTGCTTTCAACATTTCCTGAGGACAAATTCCCCAAAATGGAAATTTCAATTCAGGAATTAAGAGGTATACATATTTATGCTTCATATTACATTTTTACAAACTGATTTTCAATTTTTTTCCAATCCTTGTCACTCTCCTCACCCTGTTTGTGGCCTTCCCATTTTATATACAGTTATAAGCCATTTTCACTGAGCTGACTTGTATTCCCAGAGTACAAAATGGGGAGAGGAGGCTTAGCGACTACTAACATTGAAAAAACAAAATGGCTTTAACTGCAAACCTAATAAGAGGAAAGGTGCTTAAAACCTAGCAGAAAGATATGATCTTAATCTTCTAACAAAAAAGGGATTAATTTTGGTAGTCTGAGTTCTTAATTTGTTAAACTATAACTGGTACATCAAGCTCAGTGCATGGTTTATAATAGTTAACTCATTATGTAAAAAAAAAAAAATCATGTACTTTCAGATCCAAATGGTATTGTTTTAAAAATGATTTCCTTTTAGGTGAATGACATGGGTACCAAGGGGTTTAAAACTTTGGTACTTTAAGAACTGTCAAAAAAAAAAAAAAAGTTGGCAGAGGAGGAAATTTAACCTAACTCTCCAAAAAAACCCCCCAAAATAAAAAACAAACATAAAAACAAACCAAACCCCATCAATCCGTCACAGGTGATAGTACTAGAAGCAATGCAGGTTGAAATTTAAATGATTTGAAGTCAATATGAGGAAGAACTTTCTAACCAAGCAGACCAAATAGAAAATGTGCAATGAGCACTAATGAATTTTTGGTCACTTAGAAATTCTATGGAGTTTTTGATTAGAAGTTGAATTTGGTAAACTTATTTTTAACTGTGCTGTCCTTTGATGTTACAATTTAAACATAACACGACTTATTCTAGGTTGGAATCACATGTCTGTGTGCAACCTAAATAAGTGATTAAAAACAATACTGTTTTGCAGAATTTTATTTCAATAATGTCGTCAGTTGGATTTGTCTGAAACTATAAAATGGAAGGACTTACAAACTTTCATTGTGTTATTAAAAACAAAATAATCCAAGAGATTGGTATTAGTTTTGGATTTTCTAGAACAAGGAAAAATGGAAAAATAGTTTTGGGAAGACCCCTTTTGAATTGTTAATTTGTCCTAAAAAGTTATTTCCACATAATTGGTTAATTTTCTCTCAATACATGTTATTTATGAATTGCTTTTTTGAGAAATCCTAATGGAGTTTTTTTTTTTTTAAAGATTTTATTTATTTATTTGAGAGTGAGAATGAGAGAGCATGAGAGGGGGAGGGTCAGAGGGAGAAGCAGACTCCCTGCCGAGTAGGGAGCCCGATGCGGGACTCGATCCCGGGACTCCAGGATCATGACCTGAGCCGAAGGCAGTCGCTTAACCAACTGAGCCACCCAGGCGCCCCCCTAATGGAGTTTTTATTCAGGAAACATTTCGGGGAAGTGTTCCATTTTTTAATTTTTTTTTTCCTAGAGAAAATCCTCTTTGCTTTGTATTATATCAAGTCTATTTTATGGTTGATTAAGAATAGTTCTATTGTAGATCATTCACCTCATTTATTTTGATGGTAGATTATTTTATTTGCTATTCACATGGGAAATGAATTATTAAAATAGAAAACCAGTAAAGTGTACATATAGTTTTTTAAAACCCTAGGTAGAAATGGAGAAAGTGGGATTGATGTTTCTTTAGTAGGCAGGCCAGAGGCAAGGGAAGCAAATATTAATATCTGTTCTAAAGTTTACTGCACTTTGAGTAACTGACTTTGAAAAATGACTCTCAGGTGCTTGGAATGTGTTATGTCTGAACAGATGCAGCCATGAAGGCACAGGTGGAAAGTTCATGGTACTTATTGGTAAGAAAGCAAATTCAGTTCTAGTGGCCCTAGACATCACATAAAACGAAGTGATGGATTTATTTTTATTATGGATCACTTTATAGCAAATAAACGCTTCCATTTCCCTGTAATCCTTTAGGCATATAAATTGAAAAGTCCTAAACCAATGGAATAGACCATACACGGACGCAACCCACCTAATTACAGAGTCCTCTCACACCAGGGGTCTCCAGTAGATTCCTAAGACATTGGCTAAATAAGAACAGCATAGATGGGAATGGATTTTTGATGGTGATAACAATAGTTTCCTCAAAATTTTGCTCACCTATGTTTTTCCTAGTGGCAGTGTCTAATTCTACTCCATATAATTTATGGTTGCCAACAACAAGACTGCATACTTTGTCAACTCCATCCTGAGAACAAGCATATTGTTTTCCATTCATATTCTCTCATGAATCCTTTTTTCCTTAAAAAAAAAAAAAGATTTTACTCACACCTATCTTGTCAGGTGGTGGTTTTGTTGCAAATTAATTGTTGAAAGCCCTAAGTTGCTAAATCTTCAGCTGGAGTAAAACAAGAGCCCTGTACTGAAGGTTTAAACAAGGTAAATGACACAATCCCTCCTCCCCCAAAATCCAATCCTGGTTGCCTAGATCAGTGAGGCTCTCTGAGATTTTAAAAGAGATGGAGTCATTATTAAATGGATATAGGCCCCAGCCAGCCAGTTTTAAAATGGGGGCTTCAAAAGGGGAGGAAAAATGAAAGGGAACACGAGAATTGCCTCTTTACTTCCATAGGCTTTATTTCCCAGTTTCATAGCCCAAATATGTTATTTGGGTTCCTATCAGGATTTCTTGTAAGTGAACTATATATATCTGTGTAGGTCTGAAGTGGGCATGCTGTGGGGGTTTAGTTCTGGCCAAAAATATCTATTTTGGTAACTAATTGCATGACGGCTAGCTTTTTGGAAGCTGAAGATGCAAATAATGAGTTGATCTTGTAATCTTTGATATTTTCAAAGCCTCTTATGGTAACCTTGGGACTCCATTTTGACTAAGGACTTGACTTGCTACATTTAAGTCTCTCCCCTTCCTAAAATCTTTCTGTAGCATTCCATCCCCTATCAAATGATATCCAAACACTTACGAATGGCTTAGGCCAGTAGTTCTCAAGATTTAGCCTGCGTCAGGAT